AGCGGGGGATGGAGAGGAAGGGAAAGGCATGGGGAGAGTGGAGGTGGGGGAGGAGGGGCGACAGGACACGGCTCTCTTGGCTTTGGCCTACTTGGCTTCTGTGCCCGGTCCCTGCACAGGCTTCACCGCATGTGGGCCACACGTGTCCCGTGTGTGGTGATGAATATTTCTGAGCATGTTCATTCCTGCTGGTCGTTCCTCTCACTCACAGGGACACGCAGCACGGGCCTCTGGAGGCCATGCGTGGTTCCAGGCCCCAGCAGGCAGTGGGACCCTGGCCCAGCAGAGTGGGGGCTGCCCCTGTCCCCAACTCTCAGACAAGGAGGCTGAGCTGGGCTGAAACTCCAGGACTCTGAGCCGGTCCATCTCCTGCCGGCTGCCTGCCCTCCAATGTCGCAGGACAAGGACCACTGCTGAGCCCTGTCTTTGTGACTTATGGCTGCTGCTTTCATTCTGACCACGCGGACTCACTCCGTCCGTGGTTGTTACCTTTTTATAAATATAGACATAAATATTTTATTGGCTTCAGAGAGGAAGGGAGAGGGAGAGAGAGAGAGAAACATCAATGATGAGAGTATCATTGATCGGCTGCCTCCTGCATGCCCCACACTGGGGATCAAGCCCGCTACCAGGACATATGTCCTGACCTGGAATCCAACCATGACCTCCTGGCTTATAGGTCGGTGCTTAACCACTGAGCCATGCCGGCCAGGCATTAGTTTTTGCTGAGCTGTCAGGAGGCTCAGACTTCCTGGGGCAGAGCAAATTCAGATTCAGAGAGACATGATGTGCATGGGGTCCACCTGAGGGCCTTCACTGTGCGGAGGAGGGTAACAGCAGATGTGTCCTTCAGGCCACAGCTGCACAAGAGGCAGGTGCTCTGTCCCGGGTCCCCCCACTGAGCTGCTCTGGACGCCTGGGCAGCCAGCCTGGGCCAGCCTGCTCACCTGCCTCTAACCGGGCCAAGGCAGCACTTCCCAACAGGCCCACCTTCCGGCCGGTGTTGTCACAGTAGCTGGGCCTTCGTGCTGCAGCCCTGGTGTCCTGGGCCCCTTGCGTCCCCTCCCCACCCCCGGACCCTGAGAGGGATGCGGTGCCGAGCTACTAGGACCACCACCAACCAACGCAGGGGGCTGGCCTGCTGGCTCCCCCCACCTGCTCATCACTAAGCCGCCCCACGCCGCAGGCAGAATGAAGGGCGGGAAAACGCTTTCTGCACTTCCTTTTCCTTAAAGCTGCCAGCACCCCTGCAGGGTGGACAGTGTCTCCACCAGAGGGGTTTCAGGGAGGCCCCTGGCAAAGGCACCCACAGAGACGCCTGCTCAGTGTGCATCGTGACCTTGAGAGCTGGGGGTTGACCTCTCAGAATTGAAATGGCTTACCAAAGAGTAGCAGCATAGCTCTTCTCTAGCTGATAACTTCTCTTAATATTTTTTTCAGTCTGTTAAGCAACAGTCCCCTAAGCTTGCCCTGCCTCTCCTGGACTTGGTGTTCAAGTCCACTCAGCCCTCCACAGACCCTTTCGAATAGATTTCATAGACATGTGAGGTAAGCTTTGCATGAGGTACAGCTGGGAACGCATCCAGCAGGTTCCCTTTGGTCATCTGGGCTGATGCTCATGTCCCTCCCAAATCCACAGGTTGAAGGTCCACGGGGAGGGACCTGGAGGCCGGGCCTTTGGGAGGGAACTGGGCTTAGAGGAGGTTGGGATGGTGGGGTCATGATGAGATGAGTGTCCTCATGGGAAGAGGCAGAGCCCAGAGCTCGCTCTGCTGCATGAGGACAGTGAGGAGGCGGCTGCCTACACGCCAGGAAGAGAGCCCTCCCCAGAACCTGGCCGGGTGGCACCCTGATCTCAGACTTGAAGCCGGCAGAGCTGCAAGAAGCGAATGTTTATTGTTTAAGCTCAGCCTACGGTGAGGTGGACCAGAGACCCAGTCGAAGGACCTCATCTGCCCTCGTTTTGCCGTCTCAGGACAGTGCCTGAGCTGCCCTCCTGCGGCCAGAGCACATTTTGGGGCGTTTCAGAGCCACGCTGCAGTTCCCGGCAGGGGGGCCTGTGCAGATGCCTTCGGAGGCATCCGTCTCTAAACAGCTCACTTGGAGACAGGCCCCACAGCTCCTCCACATGCCCCCTCTAGGAGCCCAGCACAGGCACCTCTCATGGCCACCCGCTGGGCAGAGTAGTTGGCAAGCCAGCAGGGTCCCCGAGTCCATTCTGTGTTGTGAAAACAATCCTAGGGCACCTGACAGTGTGTAGGAACATCCAGCAAATGGCACCCTCTGAACAGAAAGCAAAGATAGCACAGGTATCCCCAGCAATCCTAGAAGGAAGAAGTTATTCGAATTTGACCCCTGAACTCCATTTAGTAAATCCTTTACATTGACAAGGGTCCCTGAAGGCTTGTGGCGGGCGCCTGCTCTGCACAGCACTAGCTCGGACTCTCAGTGGGGCTGATGGTGAGACCTGGGTGTGCGCCCTCCGGACCCAGGCAGCCCACCCCAGTCTCCTGCCACTCTCGGGTGAGGGCAGCTGCCTTCTCACCTTGCCCTCTCAGGGCAAACTCCACTGGTCCCTGAGCAAGGACTGGGGTGGGGACTTAAAGGACCCAGGCTCTCAACATTGGCCTTTGTGTCACGAGCCTCTGCTGATGAGGTAATGACTCTGTGATGGAGGGAAACATGCCTGGTCAGCAGCAGCACCTCAAAGGTGACCTCAGCCGAGGGTGCACGGCATCCCTGGGTGGGCTCCTCCCCCCCTCCCCGCTGAGTCCACGCTGTGCCTTCTCGGCAGAAACATTCCAGAAGGGAGACAGCAGGGCAAGCCCCGGGTCCAGGCCCTTGACCTGGGAGGCCTCCGGGAGGCCCCGAGGTTGCACCTGCTGGGGGTGGCGCCCGGGGCCAAGCCTCCCCTGCGTTTAGGGCTAGCTGTGTGCACCCTCGTGGTTAAACGCTGCTGCTCCTGCAGGACGGGCCAGGGCGCCCCGCTAGCAGTTAGCCTGACCACCACCCGTCACCGAGAGGAAACTACCAACAGGAAGTCGGACGGCCCTCCTGGGGACGGTGACCACCCTGTGCCCCCTGGGCGGCTCTGCCTCCGGCAGTCACGGGCGGCTTTTGGCTATGAGGTGCTCGGACGCACACCCGCGGGCTTCGGCAAAGGCCTCCCGTGGGCCCGCGGACCTGCCCCGGGGAGTCCTCGCCCGGTGTCCTCACTAGACACTTAGGGGCTGGGGCTTCGGCACCCCTCCCGGCCGCGATTGTTATGTAAACAGAGGCGCAGGCCGCTGGCAGCGCCCCATCTGCTCAGGCACACTCCCTGCCTGCCCGTGCTCTGGGCACTAATCATTTTGCATCCTCTTAGGTGAAAACTTGGAAAATGTGAGGGCTCTCAATCTCCCTTTCATTTGCAAACGAGTCATTTCAGCGAAGCATGGCCCATTCTTCTCCCGCGTTTGTGTTTGTGAAAAGACCGTCTCAAATTTCTGGAGCCAGAGCAGCTGCTGCGAGGCCTCCTTTCAGCGGCGGCCAGCCCCGCCCCGCCCCTCCTCAGCCCTTTGTCTCTCGCAGAGCCAGCCCCCTCCTGACCCCTGGCCGGCTCGGGGCCTCCTCTTTTGTCAGCGTCCCCAGACAAGTTTCACCCTAAATCAAGCATTGTTTGGGCTCCTGAGGCCAGCACGTGCCCACATCCCCTAATCTTTTAATTTCACCCCAGGAAAAAGCAGCTGTTAGTGATACCCAGCTGTCGCAGGCAGGCCTGCTGCCGCGGGAGAACAATGAGGGCAGGAGGGAGGCCGCGCCTCAGAAATGCGCACACGTCCCCTCTTTCTTCGTCCTGGGGGGCCAGGGCTTCCTTTGCAACAGTTGGCAGCACGTGCTGAGAAGCGCCGCCCGCCAGGAGAGCCCCAGCGCTGTGCCCCAGCCGGCTCGGCCCACACCCTCTGGAGTGCACTTGGGCTCATTTGAGAGCCAGACCTTTCGTTCCAGAGACCCCGGCGTGTGCCATCACCCCTTGCATACTCCGGGCTGCTCTGTGGCAGGAGTGCTCGCTGGGAGTGGCTGCAATAAGTCAGAAGTGGGGCCAGGATTCAGAGGATCCCCTGGAAGCAGCACGGAGGTCCCCCGAGCTAGCCCAAGGCACCCGCGATTCTCGGAGGCAGCGACCAAACTCCGGCGGCCTGAGGCTCTGAGGAGGGAGGGTCAGGAGACTTCCATGCCCTGAGCTACCAGGGCACCTCCCTGGGCCTTGCGCCCATGTGAAAGCGGGCGTTGTCCCATGGAACTTCCTCAGAAAATGAGATGCTCCCTGCACTGTTACCAGAGCCACTGAGCACTGAGAAACTAATTTTAATTTCATTTTCATTAACGTAAATGCAAGTGGCACATGTGGCCAGTGGGGTCTCAAACATGACATCATTTGAGAACTGGAGAGACAGAGGCCTGGGCCCTTGGTTCTGGGTGCAGCCTGAGTATTGGGGTCTTTAAAGCTCTGGGGGTGGGGCCCTGCCTTGGATGGTCTTGCTGCCGAGGGCTCTGCAGAGATGAGCAGCGCATTTGGAAGGCACGTGCCTCATTCAGCCACAAACACTCTCCAATGTGCAGAGGATTAGAAGGAATTACCCAGTTTGGAGCCTCCTGACAGTGGGCTGAGCTCCCTCCTTCAACTTCTGTCCCTTCTCTGCCTGCTGTGGCCACGTTCCAGGGCTGTCCTGACCGAAGAGACAAACAAAACACTACCAGTGCCCAGCAAGCGAAGCCCAAGGCCACAGCGCAGCCACAGGCGCTGCGGGCCCCTCTCGCCCCCTCTCTCACCGCCCCCTCACCTGCGGGGAGTTGAAAGCCGACCCTGGCCAGAGCATATGGTGTCCCCACACCTGCCTTCTGAGGCACCTGCTGGGCCTCTCGGGGTGTTGGCCGGCGGCTCGGGTGCCCCAGGACACCGGCCAGCGTCGACTCATTTGCATACTCGACTGGGCCACGTGCCTGGATGAAGGCGGCTCTGACAGGGCATGTCACTGCTGTTAAGACCAGCAGCTCTGAAGAAAGCCGTGTGCTCAGACAAAGGGCAGCCGCCCAGGATGCGTGCTCAGCCTCCGCGGGGCAGGCACGCACAGGTGCTCACACATGCACAAAGGGAGCCGCTGCCCACAGATTGCATGTCGTGGTTTAGGAACCTTGGAGGTCAGTGCTTGGCCATCGAGAAGGCAGTGGCCGGGCCACAGCCCCTGACCTGCGTCCTGCAGAACCCCGCTGGAAGGCTGGGCACAGCAACATGCCAACAACTCACACAGGGCCCTGATGTCTGTGCTTTGACGTGTCCTCAAATAAAAAAACTTCCTCTATTTTAGGTCCATCTCTATAGCTCAGCTTTGAGGACAGTGCCACATGGGTAACACACCACAGCTGGGCCTTTGCACGTCCCCAGGGAGGCTGGTTCTCTGCCCTGTGAGAGCTTTGCTCCCTCTCTCGCCCCTTTTAGCCCTCGGCTGCACAAGCCGCAACCAGAAGGCCAGGGGACAGGGCCAGCGCGTCGGCTCCTCCCCCTGCTGGGCCTGGCCCTGGCCCCGCAAAGAGCTGGAAGTGAATCCAGCCGGCGGGCACCTCAGGCACACACCGCTGTCCCCTCCTCTCAGGGGTGGCAAAATCAAGGGTGGACTGAGAACCCGGCACAGCCTGCAGCCCACCTCAGGCCCGGGCCATCTGTCACAGGCACAGGACAGCCAGGCGCTGCCCTGCGGTGGGCCCTGAAAAGACACAGAAGACAGCCATGTGTCAACCCGACTAGAGGGGAGGAGGGCGCCCCATAAAATATTGTGACACTTGAGGCCAGGCTGCAGGGGGGCCGGGAGAGGCGGCCACAGGGGAGCACCCGGCCAGCATTCCTGCCTCCTCCCTGGCAGCCAGCAGGGGAGGAGAGGGGACAGGCCGGCACATTGTAGGCCATTAGCGGAGAACAATGGGCCATCAGCTGAAAGGGTAATCCAGTGAATAGAAGAAGGAAAGTTGGCTTGTGCCAGCGCAGTGGGGGGAGGGGCACTCATTATTCAGACAGCAGATGGAGGGTGGCCTGGTTGCTGGGCAGAACTGGCTGCCTGGTGGGGGAGGCAGAGCCGACGGTGGGCACTGAGGACCCTCCACTGGGATGAAGGAAACGCTGTGCGCTCAGCAGGCTGGTTTCAGGCCAGCCCATGTGCCCGCTCGCCCCACCCCCACCCCCGCCCCAGGAGCCTTCACGCCCGTGGGCATCTTCACTCAGCTACAACCCCTGACCCTGGCCAGCCGGGCCTCCCCAGCGCTGAGCACTCTGCACGGGGGACAGGGCATGGCCGTCCCTCCGCCCTGAGCTTTGCTCCATTCTCCACACAAGTGCTTTTGACGGACCAAGGGTGCTTATGTGGACCCGGAGGCAGAGCCTGCCCAGAGCCCGGGGGAACGTTGGCCAGAGGCGTTCGAAAGGCATGCACCAGGAGCTGAGCACGCAGGGACGTGCCCACTGACCTGCACCTCCAGGTCCTGTGGCGTCTGGGGCATGGGCCTCGGGGCCTCCATCACGCCTCCCACGGAAAGGCACGCCTTGCCCCGCATTCGGGAAGCCCTCACTCTGGGGCCGGGGCAGAAGCTGCATGCCCTCTCCTCCTCCTGGCCTGCCTGCCCCAGATCTTCATCCTCCCTTACCCTGCTGCCAGACGGCCTCAGTGTCAGCTCTGCCTTCTCACAATCGCAGGAGCTGGGTCGAGCCGCGAGACTCCGCGGTGGTCTGTCTGGCCCGATCCGCACAGTCTGCTAAGTCTGTGGGCCAAAGGGCACATGTTGCACTTTTGTTCCCAAGCACGCAAGTCTCCAGCCTGGCTGCTTCCTCCCCTGCGCGGTCTGTTCTGGAAAAACATTACTTCAAGAAAACATTTCTGAAAACCCTCCCATTTTCATCTGACCTATTGCTTCACGAGCAGTCAGACAAGTAAACACCTGGACCAGGCCCACGAGCTCTGCCCCGGGGAGTGCGGGTGGAGCGGATGAAACAGCCAGTTTTCTCCTGGGAGATCCTTATAACCATCCACCCAACAAAGCTTGCCCTCCTGTGCGCAGGACACGCCCACGGCCTCAGAGGCAGCTCCTGGTGAATCCGGCTGAACACAGCCCCGTGCCCCTGCCACGTCCGGCCCCACCGGCTCGCCGTGAGCACCATCCTTCGTGCAGCTTCCACCTGCGCCGTGGCGACTGCAGGAGCCGGCGCAGCAGCAGGCGGAGCCCGTGGGAATTCTGCAACGCTGGCACCTCAAACTCTGCTTAAATGGTCTTGTCCAGTCTCCTCCCGTTCAGCACTGAGTATTTGGGTGGCAGAGATTCTTTAAAGAAAAATTTAATAGTGACAAAAGAATAGTTTCCTTAAAAATCAGCACTAGCCGGTTTGGCTCAGTGGATAGAGCGTCGGACTGCGGACCAAAGGGTCCCAGGTTCGATTCCCATCAAGGGCACATGCCTGGGTTGCGGGCTTGATCCCCAGTTGGGGCTGTGCAGGAGGCAGCCGATCAATGATTCTCTCTCATCATTGATGTTTCTCTCTCTCTCCCTCTCCCTTCCTTTCTGAAATCAATAAGAATATATTTTTAAAAAATAAAATCAATCTCGAGCCCTTCCCATCGGTATTCGTTTTCTCGTGTTGCTATAACACACCACCACAATTTCACCTGGGAGGCTTAACAAGTGAAATGGACAGCCTTGAAGTTCTGGAGGCTGGAAGTCTGAGATCAAGGTGGGGCGGGGCTGGTTCCCTCTGGAGCTGTGAGGGAGGCTGTGCCAGGCGCCTCTCCTGGCTCCTGGGGCTGCTGGCGCTCCTCAGCTGGCAGATGCACTGCCTCCATCTCTGCCTTCCCCTTCATGCCGCACTGTCACTGTGCATCTGTCTGTCCCCAAGTCCCCAGTCCTACTGGATTAGGATCCACCCGGACAACCTCATTTCAACTCGGTTACATCTGTAAAGACCTTCTCTCCAAATAAGGTCACATTCCAGGGATTGGGGTCAGGACTCAACACATGACTTGGGAAGAAACACTCGGCCCACTCTCCCCCGCAGCCTCCTCCTGCGACTGTGTCTGGATGTGAGTGAGGGGTGAACTCCAACAGGAATATCTATGGTCCCCATGAAGCCACGGACTTCTGTGCGGGTCTGACCTCCACAGGATGTCCTGGGGCTGCCTCCCTCCCCCGAGGACAGAGGATGTCACGTGCCGGTGTCATCACCCCCACCACACTGGGGGAGAGCATGGCTCACCCCTCCCAATCCCAGGAGCCTCTGGTGACTCTGGTCCTTGCACATCACCTGGCCACTTCCCAGCTGCCTCGCATGCACCGTCTCCAGCGCACCTACTCTCCCTCCCACAGATCTCCTTGGACTTCATGAGCATCCCCTCTTTCTCCTGCGGGAGGTACACAGCCATTTCCCAGGCCCTGTGCATCCCAAAAAGGTGCCTCATCCTATCTCAGGGCCAGCTGATACCAGTTCTTTAAACAGCCTTCTCTGCCTCCATATAGCACAGCCCTCAGCCCTCAGCCATCGCTTACCCACACACCTCCCCGGGGCATTCGTCCTGAAGACAGAGGATGTGGGCGGCTCATTGTGGCATTCCCTCTGGGGTCTAGGGTGGTGCCTGGCAGGGGCTAGCAAAGGACTAAAGGAAGGGACACCGGGTGGCTGCCACCCCTCTTCTACCCTCCTTCACTACCTCACACACTTGCAAAGGCCCTAAGCAGCCTTCCCAATGGGCATGCACCCCATTCTCTGGCATATGTCTCCCTGGCACCTCTAATTTTCCACAGACTCTATCTACAGGCCCCCTCAGAGTGTCCCGGGCCTTTCCCTGCGGGCTTTCCTTCGCTGAGCTGCTACTTTGAGGTTGTCCTCCACACAGGCACCCTCACTGCACATGCTCTACTGCGTGCTGCAGGCACCTTGCTGCCGGGACCCCCGCCCAGACCTCCTAAGTCTCCACTCCATCGGCCAAAGATGCAGGAGGCAGCCCTGGGGCAGGCCAGATGCTCGGAAGAGGAAGGGTAGGAAAGAAGTCACGAGCTAATATTGCTCAGAGATGGGAACCCAGAGAGAGGCTCAGTGGAAGAGGAGATGAAAGGTGTTGTATACAGGGATTTTCTGCACATGTACCCAAGAGTTGCCATCATCACCATCCTCTTCAGAAAATCACCACTGCCACTCACACCATCACCATCATCTCCTTCATCACTGCCATATTGCCATCACCACCACCATCATCATGATTATCACCACCACCATCACCAACACCAACACCTATCACCATCTTCTTCATCACTATCCTTATCATCACCATCACTACCACCATCTATCACCATCACCATCACCATCACCATCACCACTATCCTTATCACCACCACCATCTATCACCATCACCATCATCACCACTATCATCATCGCCACCATCACCATCTTCATCATCACTATCCTTATCATCACCATCACCATCATCACTCTCCTTATCATCATCACCACCACTACTACCATATCTATCACCATCATCATCACCACTATCCCTACCACCACCACCATCTATTACCATCACCACTATCCTTATCATCACCACCTCCATCACCATCTTCATCATCACTATCCTTATCATCACCATCACCATCATCACTCTCCTTATCATCATCACCACCACTACTACCATATCTATCACCATCATCATCACCACTATCCCTACCACCACCACCATCTATTACCATCACCACTATCCTTATCATCACCACCACTACCACCTATCACCATCACCACTATCCTTATCCTCACCATCACCACCACCACCATCTATCACCATCACCATCATTCCCACCATCATCATCGCCACCATCACCATCATGACCACCACCATCATTGCTATTACCATCATCACCACTATCATCATCGCCACCATCACCACCACCATCATTGCTATTACCATCATCACCACCATCATCATCGCCACCATCGCCACCATCACCACCACCATCATTGCTATTACCATCATCATCATCATATCTATCCTTTAAACTGACCCCAGGCCAGGTGCATTTTAAGTGTTTTATCTAAATTGGCTCACTTAATTCTCCTTACAGCCTTCTGCTGTGCATACCATTATTATCTACCTTTTACAGGTGCGGGACCTGGAGCACAGAGGGTGCATTAGCTTGTTCGAGGTCACACAAGCAGGAACCGGTAGGCAGGATTTGAACCAAAGCAGTCACAGTCTGGGATCTGCCTGCCGGGGCATTCAGATGGGCATCATTGGCAATAGCACAGCCTAGAAACAATCCAGATGACTCCTGTGGTGGAACGCCACGCCGCAGTGAAAACAGCTGACTGCCAGATCTGCTTCCACATACATGAATCTCATGAGCAGAGAAAAGCAAGGCAGAATTTATACAATATTATTTCATTTGTGAAAGTTCAAAATTGGCAACATTTAGCAATCGATTGCTTAGCAAATACTCATGTACAGGAAAACTTTAACCAGGATGAGCTAAGGAGTACCGCAGCGTCAGGTGGGTGCTCACTGACGCTGAGGGGGCAGCGGAGGGAGGAAGGGCTGGGGCTGCTGAGAGGCGTGCACAGCGCTCCGTGACCTGGGCGGAGCTTCGAGAGTGCCTTCATTGATTATTGTTCTCTCGCGCGTACATGGAAGTCACTACACTCTCTTGCATGTAGAGATTATTGCAGAATTATCTTACACGTTTGTTTTGCTCTCCAATTAGAAAGAAAAGAATGGTAAGGAGTTCATAGACTCGATCTCAGCCAGTGAATGTTCACTGTAGCAAGCCCCTCAAACCCCCAAAAATGTCCCTCCCAGGGGCTGAAGAAGCCAATCCCCGCCCAGGCGGCCTCCCGCCAGGACCACAGGGCTGCAGGCGATGCCTCAGACACCTGCAGCACCCCAGGCTCAGGATGCAGAGCTGCTAGGCTGCTGTGAAGGGCAGAGTCCTGGTGACATCTTGAGCCCGAGCCCGGGTCTCCCCAGCCCCAGGGCCGATGGTGGGCAGCCCTTCCCAAGGGTGCCCACATCGCTGAGCAAGGCTTTCATGAGACCCAGGCAGGTTGCCAGCCACAGAGATGGTGAGGCAGTCTGTGGGCTGCAGAGGACGAGCTCAGGATGGCATGTGACGCATGAGCCATCCCTCTCTGACCTCCAGGCACCCCGCTTCTGCGTCGATGTGTTCCAAGAGCTGGGTGTCTGCCCCAACCCCACAGCATGTAGGTGGGTGCTGCTTTGCTAAATGCACCAGACCCAGGCTCCTCTGACCGAAGCCCTTGGCCATCCACTCAGGACACCCACCCTCCCCCACCCTCTGCTCATGCTGCCTCCAGATTATCAAAGGGATGACCCACCTGCCCACTGGCCCACAGGGCTCCCCAACATCTCTCCTTCCTTTAGAGCAGCTGCAGCACCCCCTGTCCCCACCTCACCTCCCACCTGAGATGTCACGACCCTGGGCCCCCCTCAGTAGCTACTGATCTTTTCAGGCTCTCGGTCAAGGGGGGTGAGCGGGGAGGAGAGAAAAGGCTGCAGCCTGGGAGCTGGCTGCTCCCTGCACTGCCTCCCTGCCCCCAGCCCGTCCGCCCAGGGCCAGAGCCATCTGCTCTTCGCGGAGCCAGGGCGGCAGCTGCGTGCTCTAAGCAGGGCCCAGGAGGGGCTCATCTAGGAGTGACCTTTGACCTCACCACCAGCCTGAGGCCTAGAGCGAGCTCACACACACAGCACACTGCTGCCGGAGAAGCGGGCTCTGGCTTCCACGTCTGGTGTGTCAAGTGGGGTTGTTTGTCTTCTCGGGTTGTGATTTCTCATCCGTCGTTCCAAATCCAAGAAACCTGAGAGCGGAAAGCTGCCTCGCAATGCG